CGACAGAGCTAAAAAGACCAGCACGAGATCACAATTTTTCCCTCATCTTTTTATGTGTCACTTTGTTGGTTGCTTGGTTGGTTGGTTGGTACCGGGCAGTGAACTCGGACTCTTGCGCTTGAAAGGCAGGCAGCGAAAGCACTGAGCTAAATCCCTGGCCCTCAAGTGTCATTTTGGAGGCACCCAACTTCTTGGACCCAGTACCCCACGGTGTGGAGTGCTCTAGTGGGTCTGCCCCCCAGGAAATGCGTTTGGGTCTCATGAATCACACCCCAGGGCCCAGCTTCTGCCGGGATCTCTCCTCACCTGTGTGCTGTCTCTCACAGACACACGGACAGCTAGGCGTGGGATTTCAGATCAGAGAAGGGGCTTGCTGGGAAGTGCGATGGGTTTTGCTTAATGGCTGTTCACTGAAGATGCAGCCCAGAGGCCACCTCTCCCCAACTCCCACCCTAGCTAGGTGGGTGGCTCTGCCTGGGCTTCCTCCCAGATCCCTCAGGTGAAGACAGCCCGACTCTGTTCTCCTGGGGCTGTGGTGCAGCCCCTTTCTGTCCCCCACTGCTGCCTCCTCTGACCCAGAGCACCTGTCACAGCTGCATGAGCCGAGTGGCACCTAACCCTGCTGTCTCCTGGGGACTGAGTGAGCCCGAACCGGCACAGCTGGGTGTGCGGGGTGGGAGGCTGCAGTGTAGCTCGGGGTCTCCGGGTGAATGGAAGCCCACCTGAACCACATACCACTCGCGAGGCCGATGCTGGCGTCGGGGAGGGCAGTGCAGCTGCACAAAGCCCCCTCTGGTGGAAGGGGTGCCACTAACAGTGACAGCAGTGCCCAGGTAAGGACGCCTGACTTTGGGCTTGCTCACTTTACCATGGTGCGAAAGCAACATTCAGGAGAAACCGCGCTTTGAATTTTGCTCTTTTCTCAGGCTCATGATCCTTTCTCACCCCACTGAACAGAAACAGGGAGCCCATCAGCCTGAGATCACCAAAGGGGCTGGAGGTTCTCTCCGGGGTGCCACGTGGGGAAGCCAGGCTGTCCAGGAGGTGGGGTAAATGGATTGCTGATTTATAATACTTTTATATATAATACTTTTAGCCTGCAGCAGGTTTATGGGGATGAACCCAATCATAACTGAGTCCAGGCATCTGCAGGAGCCAGGGGCCAGGGCACAGGGGCACACAGGACCCAATCTTGCCTCTGGGGATCCCAGAACCCAGCAGGAAGAGATGCAGGTCCTCAGATGGTTTCCACACAGGGGCTCAGAGAAGGCTGAGGCTGGCGGGGGAGTGTTCTGGGGAGCGTGCAGGGTGTGGGCCTGGCGCAGATCTGGGCACTGCACAGACTGGCTGGGCGAGGGGCTTCCGTGGCCAGCCCATGTCTGCTCCCCTCGGGCACAGCACCTGGACTCCCCACGGGGAAGCAGCGCATGCCCACTCCCTGGCTCCAGCCTGTGGCTGCTCAGGAGGGCAAGGGCCCAGCAGGCCCAGGAGACTCCACTGGGGCGCAGGAAGACAGGAGGACTTTCCCTGCGCTGCCTTGGGGGAGCTCCGTGGGACAAAGCCAGCCCAAAGGGGCGCCAACCCAGGGGACAGTAAGCCAAGGGCCTGAGAGAGACCAAGCCTGGACAGCGCGGTCCATCCCTCAGTCCAGCCTGTCATGTCCCCGCAGTGCCACACATGTGGCCCCTCAGTTCCAGCTCTTTGTGTAAGTCAGACAGAGGGATCTGGGTTTAGCTTACCAGCAGCCTCCCCTGTGGTGGCACAGGAGGAAAGGAGAAGGTGGATGAGGCCAGTGGAAGCTCATCTCCAGGGGAGCGAGAGGCCAGGCCACGAAGTTCAAGACCCACCCACTAGACCACCCACCTCCAAGCAGGGCACTTCGGCAGTGGGACCCTGCTGTGGGGAGCAAAAGCTCTGCTCAGAGGGGTAGGAAGGGTGTGGGCCGGAAAGAAACAGCCAATGGCTCTTCTAGAAACTTCAGAGCCTTTGGAAGATCTTTCCTGGGGTTTTCTCCTCGAGACGGACAGCCTGGTCTGGAATCAGGGCTAAATTATTAATCCATCAGCCCTGACGGCATGCACCAATTTATCTTAATTTCTGAAAACACGCTTGTGCTTTCTGGAGCAGTCTCTTTTCTCTGTCACTAAGAGGCATAGGGACCTCCGCAGAGATTAACTGGAGCAGACCTGGCCCTTGGTGGCAGCTGGCCCTGGCTACATGTCGGTGGTGGCACTGCCAGGCGGAGGGGCTCAAGGGTGCCCTCAGGCCACAGGCAGTGCTGCCAGAGGCCTACGGAACCTGTGACACCAGAGGCAGAGGAGGGCCAGGGAGCGGTCCTCTGCTAGACCAGGGGCCCGTGCGTTACCCCATCTCCCTTCCCGCTGAGAGTGACAGGCACGGTTGGACGGCAGGAAAACTCCAGCCAGCCTCCCTCCCTCTCAGATGAGGACTCCCAATATGGCTTCGTGACTAAGGCGTCTGTAAATAAACCGTGGAGAAAAATGCCTGATGAGCGATACAGATGGGTTTCTGAGACCAACATTCTGGGCTCTGAGACTCCTTTCGTACACCTTTGTTTACGGTCTGCCATCTTGGGTGGAGTTTTTGAAGGGGGCATGGAGACCAAGGGGTGAGGAGCTGGTGCTGGCCAGCAGCACGGCTGCCCTGAGCACTGGACCAGCAAACAAGCGCCTTTCCGGTGAGCCAGCCTCAGGCCCTCGGACGGCAGCGAGCAAAACACAGAGGATCCCTGTCTTACTGAAGCTTACATCCTTCCCATGTGGGAATAAACTCGGAAGAATGGACAGATTCCATGGAGTTAAGCCCCTCTGGATCCCTGGGGATGGAGGTGCTATTTGGAAAGCTAGACTCTGCACACCAGGGACCTTACACAAATCACCTATGCGCCCCGCTCGCCAGCCCTGCGCCTCAGCACACATCGCTCCACACGCCGCCCTGCTGGTGAGTGTGGGTGCAGCCCGGGCAGCTCCCCAGGGTGGGAGAGGAGCCCTGCCTGCTGTCTCTGACCAGGCTGGAACCACGCCATTCACTGAGGGACCGCAGGACCCACGGTACCGCAGTAGCCCAGGGGGAGCACAGCTGAGGAGAGGGGTGAGTGACTGCAGCTGTGCTGTCTTTGCAGCTGCTGCTCTCTGCTGCTCCCCAGGAGCCCTGCGAGATGCAGCAGGTGACAGTGTGGGGCTTCTGTGTTCGGGGTTCGCTGGCTTTCATGTGAGCGGGTGTAACACCCAACCACCCTGCGGGCCGCTGGGAGGGCCGGACAGTCCAGCGGGTGGGGTGCACCGTCCCCAGTTCAGGCCAGGTTTCCCCTCAGCGCGGACATGCCACAGCAGGGCCGCTGTCTACGGCTGGCATCTGTCCTCACCGGCTGCTGCCCGTGCCGTTGCAGCTCCTAGGTATTTTGAATATCACCTCTGGATATGAGCATTAGTCTCACTTGGGCAGCTGTCTCCTCACATGAGACAGTTTCAGAGATCTGGAAGTTAAAACACATGCAGGCTGCTTTTCAAACCAAAATACTGTTTCAGCGGAATTCCTGGTGGTCGCTTTTTTTTTTTTTTTTTTTTTTTTT